GAGGAGCACAGAGGCAGTAAAGGGGGCACAGAGGCTTTAGAAGGGGGGACAGGGGCAGTAGAGCAAGGGACAGGGGCAATAGAGGGAGGGTCAGATGCAATAGAGTTAGGGACAGAGGTAGTTAAGGGAGACATGGGCAGTACAGGGGGCACAGGGGCACTATGGTAGGGCACAGGGGTACTATGGTAGGGCACAGGGGGGCAGGAGCTGTAGAGAAGGGGCAAGTACTGTAGAAGAGGGGCTGCTTTAAAAAAACAACAAAAAAAACTTTTGATTTAAAAACCAAACAAAAAAAAAAGGTAAAAAAAAAGCTAAAAGGTATTTCCTCCTCCCTGAGGCTTACCTTGATCCAGGGAGGGAGGGAAACCTTACCTGGTTGCCGGGTGGGACAGGCCAGACAGGACTTGGAATTGGAGCTGGAGGCTGTAGCTGCAGATCCACTCAGGAGGGCTGGAGAGTTTGGGAGCAGTGTAAGTTATGCCCCCTCCTTCTGACATCATCAGAGGAGGCTGGCTGACTTCACTGTCAAGCTGCTCCTATGTGCTGACTGCAGGGGGAGCAAGGTGAGTTAAAAAATCTGAGTCCCCAGCCGGAGGCAAGGGATTTGGTATCTTGTGCCCCCCTGCGCCCGCCCTAAGGCAGCCACCTGCGCCACTTTATGGACGTGCCGACCCTGGTTCTGGAGTGGCCATCACAGTCTTCTGACCTTAATATCATCGAGCCACTCTGGGGAGATCTCAAACGTGCGGCTCATGCTAGGCGACCAAAGACTTTGCATGACCTGGAGGCATTTTACCAAGACAAATGGGCAGCAGTACCACCTGCAAGAATTAGGGGCCTCATTGACAACTATTACAAAAGACTGCATGCTGTCATTGATGCTAAAGGGGGCAATACACAGTATTAAGAACTAACGGCACGACAGACATGACAGAGGTCATATATTTATTTTTTCTTTGTTGCCATGTTTTGTTTTATGGTTATGCAATTCTGTTTTGACCTACAATTGAATATGAATCCCACAAGAAATTAAAAAATGTGTTTTGCCTGCTCACTTATGTTTTCTTTAAAAATAGTACATATTTTACCAATTCTCCAAGAGTATGCAAACTGTTAAGTAAAACTGTACATATACATTTGTAGTTGGTGACAAAGGTAGGCAGTGGGAAAATAGAAAACTCCAAACAGGTAAACAGGTGCTTCATGTGTTTAGAATGAGCTTTTTTTTTTTTTTAATGAATTACTAAAGAAACACCTTTCTTGCTGTCAATCAGACATTTGGTGATGTTTTCTTCCACTTCTGTTTGCTCCACCAAACAGAAGTGTCAGGTGCAGTTGGCTAGAGTACAGCAGCTTTGTGAAAGAAAAGCAACGCTCTCTCAATGACAAAACTCTGATTGTATAATTCACCGGCACAGACTTTCAGAAAGAGGAGAGGACTTTCAATAGCTGCAGGCAGGAGATCTCTGAAAGTTTAACATTAAAAAGAAAATATGTGCATGTTTCCTGTTTTTTTCTATTTTACTTGAGGGTATATTGTCTGAATTGTTTCAAAAACAAAAATATATTTATGTGTTCCTTTAAATAAATGTTATTTAACTAATTATTATTATTATGTTTTATTATTTATTAATCAGCACAAAATTGCATACTTTATGCACTGGTATATAAATATCATAAAACAAGAAAAAGTGAATGACTCACCAGCCCTCCATGTGAATGCTGAAATTGGTGCATTCCCAGCGTGTGCTTGCGGGATTTACACTCCCACAGCTTGTTATGACTGCTCACCAGCAGTCACCTGCCTGTTTGGATATATATATTATATATTAAAATAACTGTTCATAGGTAGAGTTGAGCGAACCCGAACATTACGGTTTTTGGACCCCGGACCCGAACACGGACATTTCAGTGTATGTTCGGGTTGGAGTTCGGTGTTCAGCGATTTTATGGCGCATTTTGAAAGGCTGCTGGGCAGCCAATCAACAAGCGTTTGACTTGTGTGCCCTTAGAAGCCATCACAGCCATGCCTACTAATGGCATGGCTGTGATTGGCCAGTGCAGCATGTGACCCAGCCTCTATATATAAGCGCCGCACGTCACATGAGCTGTTATTAGTGTAGGGAGAGGATGCTGCAGCTGTGAGGGAACGACTAGGAAGGAATTCTGGTGTTGAATCTGCAAACTACAGCGATTATACTACATTTTTGTACCCTGCCCTGAGCCCAGTGCCACACAGAGTGCAGTGCACTTGCAACTGCATGTGTGCCAGGCACATTATTTTAATCCTGTTCTGGTAGTTCAGTGGGCAACATCTAGGCATTTTTAAATACTGCAAATTTTGGTGCTATATAGTACATTTGCATACTGCATTTCTTGCAGTCTAATCAAACCCTCAAATACTACTGTTGCATTGTTGGTTTAAAAAATCACACCTTTTTTGTACTAAATAGTACATTTGTGGCCTGTGGTGAATTTCTTGCAGTCCAATAAAACCCTTAAATACTACTGTTACATTGTTGGTTTAAAATATCACACTTTTTTGTGCTAAATAGTACATTTGCGGCCTGCTACACTTCATATCTGAGAGTCAAATAGAACCGTCAGATACTGTGGTTACATTGCAGTTTGACCAATTCAAATTTTTTGGGTGCTAAAAAGTAAATTTGGGGTATGCACTTCACATCTGAGAGTCAAATAGAACCGTCAAATACATCGCACTTTGAAAAATTCAAATTTTTTGGGTGCTAAATAGTACATTTGCTGCCTGCGGTGCACTTCATATCTGAGAGTCAAATAGAACCGTCAAATACTGTGGTTACAGCCCAATTTTAAAAATTCTATTTTCTTTGGTGCTAAATAGTACATTTGGGGTGTGCACTTCATATCTGAGAGTCAAATAGAACCGTCAAAAACTGTGATTACATCGCATTTTGAAAAATTCAAATTTTTTGGGTGCTAAAGAGTACATTTGCAGCCTGCGGTGCACTTCATATCTGAGAGTCAAATCGAACCGTCAAATACTGTGGTTACATCGCAGTTTTAAAAACTAAATTTTTTTGGGTTCTAAGTAGTACATTTGGGGTGTGCACTTCATAACTGGTGTATGTGTGCGGCTAGTTACCGCTTCTCAAGAAAGTCTAAAGACAAATAAATGTTGCATATGGTGCAGGTAGTATAGAAGGCAAGACTGAGACAAATCATTCGGGTTATATTTGCCTGTTGACATGTTAATTAACTCAGACCATTAAAATTCAATAATCAATGGAAAAAACACACAAAGTGTCATACAAAAATATGGATTATAGGCAAGTTAAAAACAAGACTACAAGTCATGCTATAACAAGATTAAAGGACCACTATAGTGCCAGGAAAAACATACTCGTTTTCCTGGCACTATAGTGCCCTGAGGGTGCCCCCACCCTCAGGGACCCCCTCCCGCCCGGCTCTGGAAGGGGGAAAAGGGGTAAAACTTACCTTTTTCCAGTGCTGGGCAGAGAGCTCTCCTCCTTCTCTCCTCCTCCGTTCCGCCGGCTGAATGCGCACGCGCGCAAGAGCTGCGCGCCATCACATAGGAAAGCATTCATAATGCTTTCCTATGGACGCTGGCGCTCTCACTGTGAAAATCACAGTGAGAAGCACGCAAGCGCCTCTAGTGGCTGTCAATGAGACAGCCACTAGAGGCTTTGGGGGAAGGCTTAACCCATTAATAAACATAGCAGTTTCTCTGAAACTGCTATGTTTATAAAGGAATGGGTTAATCCTGGCTGGACCAGGCACCCAGACCACTTCATTAAGCTGAAGTGGTCTGGGTGCCTAGAGTGGTCCTTTAACCCCTTAAGGACCAAACCTCTGGAATAAAAGGGAATTATGACATGTCACACATGTCATGTGTCCTTAATGGGTTAAACAAGTTTTAAAATATGTATAGGCCAGCCAGTGGCTGTAAAAAGTTTTACTGGTTACATTCATGACTACACACTCTAGTGAACAGGACCTTCATGTATTGTGTTCTTGTTTTTTTTTAAAATTCATACAGCATCCCTTCATGTGCTTTTCAGATGTCATATTGTTTAGTACCAATTTTTGTTTAGCCTGATTTTTTTTTTTTTTGGCCTGCAAAAGAATAATGAGTTATTAAAGTATACCGCACAAGTTTTACATAGGTTGCCATTATACTGTATATAAACTATTTGGAGATACAATTTAGATTACTTGCACTTTGAATCTTTAACACTCCACGCAGCATTACCACTCCAGCTAGACAATTTTCCATGGGAGGAAGTTACCAGCAGGCCCCCAGGTGCCTGAGGCTCCTGTTCAGGACCTGCCAGCACAGGAAGGTGCTACCAACACCCAGTGTAACCTAGGTAGGTTGTCAAATCACAAGTTGACTACTTACACTGGGAGGGCTCCAGGACACACCTGGGACAATAATCTTTATCACTAACCTACAGGCTGTACCAATTATAGTGTTTGCCATTTCAGTAAGTTATTCTTACATGCTGGAAAAACTTTACATGCTGGAAAAACACAGGTGCCAACTGCTGTGGCTTTCTGCAGTGTGCAGACCGGCAAGGAGGGCAGGGTTGAGGAGTGGGTGGAAGATGATGTGGAAGATGATGAGGTCCTGGACCCCGCATGGAATGATGGTCATGCGAGTGACGTGTACAGTTTGGAGGAAGAGGCGGTGGTCGCACAGGGGCACCAGCACAGCTTAAGAGGGAGCAGGGTGCAAGAGCGGAGCGGCCGTCCCCTAGCACTCGTCGGCATGTATTAACTCTAGAATTACCACAGTTATCCAAGTTACAGATGGAGCGATCAAAGGAACCATAACTGATTTAATAAGCCATTCGCAGTTTCACGGTAGCGGCCATGTGCTCTTTCGGCGTTCTCAACCTGCTGCTGCTCGCCTGTCTGCGATGCAGCGTAACTTCGGCCTTCCCGCTCACCATCTCATATGCAATGTGCCCACAAGGTGGAACTCCAACTTGCACATGCTGGAGAGACTGTGCGAGCAGCAGCAGGCGATAGTGTAGTTTCAGCTGCAGCACGCACGGGTCAATCGCCCTCCAATAGATCCTCGTTAAAGGATTTAAAGTGTACTCATTCCAATTACAGGGCCTCGAAAGAGTCCTGTATTGTTATTTTTCATCACTACCTCCCCGCGTCGGGAGTGGGTAATTTGCGCACCTGCTGCCTTCCTTGGATGTGGTAGCCATTTCTCAGGCTCCCTCTCCGGAATCGAACTCTGATTCCCCATTGCCCGTGGTCACCATGGTAGGCGCAGAAAGTAACATCGAAAGTTAATAGGACAGACATCCGAATGTCTGAGGCGTGCGATCGGCCCAAGGTTATCTAGTCACCAAAGTGCCTGCGCAACGACTGCCGAGTTGCCCATAGTCTAACTTGCGCTGATTACTGGGTGGCCACCCTGCTGGATCTCCGTTACAAGGACAACGTGCCGTCCTTAATTCCCTCACTGGAGCGTGATCGGAAGATGCGCGACTACAAGCGCAATCTGGTAGACGCGCTGCTGAGGGCATTCCCAACTGACACCGGGGGCTCAGTGGAAGCACAAGGCGAAGGCAGAGGAGGAGGAAGAGGTCGCCAACACAGCTGGGGCATCGCCAGCACCTCACAAGGCAGGGTTAGCATGGCTGAAATATGGAAAAGCTTTGTCAGCACGCCACAACAACCAGCACCACCAGCTGATATGGAACGTCTTAGCAGGAGGCAGCATTTCAGCAACATGGTGGAACAGTACGTGTACACGTACTGACCGATGGGTCTGCCCCATTCAACTTATGGGTCTCCAAATTGGGCACATGGCCTGAGCTTGCCCTTTATGCCTTGGAGGTGCTGGTCTGCCCTGCAGCCAGTGTATTGTCTGAACGTGTGTTTAACACAGCAGGGGGCATTATCACAGACAAGCGCAGCCGCCTGTCCACAGCCAACGTGGACAAGCTCACGTTTAAATGAACCAGGCATGGATCCCACCAGACTTGTCTGTACCTTGTGCAGAATAGACATTTATACTGGCCTCACCCAGCCATTGTTATACACAAGTGTACTTATTCTTTGTTTTCTTTTTTTATATGTCCCAATATTTTGGGGGCTACCCCAATTAAAATAAAACAAAAAAAACAAGCAAATAAACAAATAAAAAACAGTGTTGGCTACCTCCTCCACCGCCGCTTTTACCTACACCACCACGGTCACCGCCTCCTCAACCTCCTACTCCACATCCACCATCTCCTCCCAGAGCAGGGTGCAAAAGCGGAGCGGTCGTCCTCTAGACAGCACGCCTGCTACTGCCCACCGCACCCAGGGACCGAGCACACCAAAGCCAGCTCCAAGGAGTTCCCTGGCGTGGCAGTTCTTCAGACAATGTGCTGACGACAAGACACTAGTGGTTTGCACGCTGTGCAATCAGAGCCTGAAGCAAGTCATAAACCTTCTAAACCTGAGCACAACCTGCATGACCAGGCATCTACATGCAAAGCACGAACTGCAGTGGAGTAAGCATCTCAAAAACCAAGAAAGGTCTCAGGCTCCTCCTGATTCCTCTTCTGCTGCTGTATCAGCCTCTTCCTCGTCCGCAACCGTCCCCAAGCATTTCCACACTGTCCCATGGAAGCATTCAGCTTTCCATCTCCCAAACACTGGAGAGAAAGAGGAAGTACCCCCCTACCCACCCCTGATCTCTGGCCCTGAATGCCAGCATTTCAAAATTCCTGGCCTTTGAAATGCTGTCATTCCGTCTGGTGGAGACGGACAGTTTTAAAAAACTGATGGCGTTATTGGACTGCAAGAAATGCATCGCAGGCCACAAATGTTTCTTTTTTTTATATGTCCCAATATTTTGGGGGCTACCCCAATTAAATAAAAACAAAAAAAATAAAAAACAGTGTTGGCTACCTCTTCCACCGCCGCTTCCACTTACACCGCCACGGTCACCGCCTCCTCAACCTCATACTCTCCACATCCACCTCCTCCTCCAAGTTCAAGATTATTATTTTTAATTTTTATGTATTTTATGTTATTTTAAGTTATTTCCCTATCCACATTTGTTTGCAGGGCACTTGTCCTACTCTTACCCCCGTTTTACTTCATTTTTCAGTCCTCTAGCCCTTTCCAGGACTTTTTTTAGAGGCATTTTAGTACCCAAATGTTCGGGTCCCCATTAACTTCAATGGGGTTAGGGTTTGGGGTCAAGTTTGAGCCCGAACTCAAACTTTTTGACGAAGTTTGGCTGAACTCGGCGAACCCAAACATCCAGGTGTCCGCTCAACTCTATTCATAGGCATTATATAATGCAATGCATAGTTTACGCTCAGGCAAAGAGTTAATATACAAGATGATTTTATGCAGTTTGTTTCCTGGTTGACCTTTCATATAATAAAGCAAAAGGCTTTCATGTTAATAGTACCTTTTTTATGAATGCTACATAAATTGCACTAAACTTTCAAACTGAATTTAGCACATGCTTGTCAATATTTACTAAAAATAACATGACGGAAACAGTAATTTATTTTCTGGTGTGAACGAGTTTTTAAATCTGTTCCATAATGTCGATGCCTAAATAAGTATGGATATTTGATATTTAAAAATGTGTTTTATAAGCACACTTGTATGAACAAATTAAGTAAATATATTAGGGGTGAGGGGGCTGATTTTCCATCAATTTGAAATGAGGATTAAAGTAGGTGTTCCAGAGTGTTTTCTCACAAGCTGTATATAGAACATCAGTATTTCTGTTTCAAATAGCACATGTGACATGTTACACTACTCGTTTTTTTAGCATTTTTGAAGTCAAAATAAAAAGTGCTTTTTTGTTTTATTACTTTTGAAGCTTCAATCAAAGATGCTGGATAGATCAAAGGCTTTTATTTCCTCAATGATTATAAATGTAACACTGAGGTCTAAGAAACACAGATAATTAGCATTAGAAGTTGTCCATTACAAAATTTGAAATTGATTTAGTTAACTTGTAACTGAAAATAACCATTTACATAAATTCTTGAATTCCTTTAGTGTGTTAGCTTTTTGAGGTTATTCACCAAACTGATCATTGTATGTCAAACAAGTGTCCCATATGAATTAGAGTTGCGGCCTACCTGCCCTATTATTTCCTGTCTGATTGTCTCCCCTCCCAGGGCCGATCACATGCTCCCGTGGCCATAAGCGCGCAGAGGGGAGCCGAATGCGCATGCGCGGCAAGTGCCGTGCGCGCTTTCAAAGTGTCCATAGGACACGCTCTGTGCGATGGAGGCATAATATGCCTCCAGCATCACAGATGCGCCTCTAGTGGGTGTCTGGGAGACACTAGATGCTGGCTCAACCCCAAATGTAGCAGTTTCATCTGAAGGGTTAAAACCTGAGGGACCTGGCACCCAGACCACTTCATTGAGCTGAAGTTTGCATCTGAAGGGATAAAACCTGACCTACACATTTCAATGATACAGGGAGTGCAGAATTATTAGGCAAATGAGTATTTTGACCACATCATCCTCTTTATGCATGTTGTCTTACTCCAAGCTGTATAGGCTCGAAAGCCTACTACCAATTAAGCATATTAGGTGATGTGCATCTCTGTAATGAGAAGGGGTGTGGTCTAATGACATCAACACCCTATATCAGGTGCATAATTATTAGGCAACTTCCTTTCCTTTGGCAAAATGGGTCAAAAGAAGGACTTGACAGGCTCAGAAAAGTCAAAAATAGTGAGATATCTTGCAGAGGGATGCAGCACTCTTAAAATTGCAAAGCTTCTGAAGCGTGATCATCGAACAATCAAGCGTTTCATTCAAAATAGTCAACAGGGTCGCGTGTGGAAAAACCAAGGCGCAAAATAACCGCCCATGAACTGAGAAAAGTCAAGCGTGCAGCTGCCACGATGCCACTTGCCACCAGTTTGGCCATATTTCAGAGCTGCAACATCACTGGAGTGCCCAAAGCACAAGGTGTGCAATACTCAGAGACATGGCCAAGGTAAGAAAGGCTGAAAGACGACCACCACTGAACAAGACACACAAGCTGAAACGCCAAGACTGGGCCAAGAAATATCTCAAGACTGATTTTTCTAAGGTTTTATGGACTGATGAAATGAGAGTGAGTCTTGATGGGCCAGATGGATGGGCCCGTGGCTGGATTGGTAAAGGGCAGAGAGCTCCAGTCCGACTCAGAAGCCAGCAAGGTGGAGGTGGAGTACTGGTTTGGGCTGGTATCATCAAAGATGAGCTTGTGGGCCTTTTCGGGTTGAGGATGGAGTCAAGCTCAACTCCCAGTCCTACTGCCAGTTCATGGAAGACACCTTCTTCAAGCAGTGGTACAGGAAGAAGTCTGCATCCTTCAAGAAAAACATGATTTTCATGCAGGACAATGCTCCATCACACGCGTCCAAGTACTCCACAGCGCGGCTGGCAAGAAAGGGTATAAAAGAAGGAAATCTAATGACATGGCCTCCTTGTTCACCTGATCTGAACCCCATTGAGAACCTGTGGTCCATCATCAAATGTGAGATTTACAAGGAGGGAAAACAGTACACCTCTCTGAACAGTGTCTGGGAGGTTGTGGTTGCTGCTGCACGCAATGTTGATGGTGAACAGATCAAAACACTGACAGAATCCATGGATGGCAGGCTTTTGAGTGTCCTTGCAAAGAAAGGTGGCTATATTGGTCACCGATTTGTTTTTGTTTTGTTTTTGAATGTCAGAAATGTATATTTGTGAATGTTGAGATGTTATATTGGTTTCACTGGTAATAATAAATAATTGAAATGGGTATATATTTGTTTTTGTTAAGTTGCCTAATAATTATGCACAGTAATAGTCACCTGCACACACAGATATCCCCTAACATAGCTAAAACTAAAAACAAACTAAAAACTACTTCCAAAAATATTCAGCTTTGATATTAATGAGTTTTTTGGGTTCATTGAGAACATGGTTGTTGTTCAATAATAAAATTAATCCTCAAAAATACAACTTGCCTAATAATTCTGCACTCCCTGTATTACAAACAAAGGTGTAATAAGCAACTTACTCAAGTTATTCAGGCTGGACATGGAAAAGTAGAAGTGTTAGGTCTAGCTCTCAGAACACATCAATTTCCAAGAGCAATGTTACCGACACAAAATGACAGAACTCTTAAAGGACCACTATAGTGCCAGGAAAACAAACTAATTTTCCAATATAGGATCATTAGGTTCCCCCCACCCTCAGGGCCCCCCTCCCGTCAGGCTGAAAGATTTAAAACACCATCAGCCACTTACCTTTCTCCAGCGCCGGGCTCCCTCGGCGCCGGTGACCTTTCCTCCCCCCGCCGACGTCAGCTCTGAATGCGCACACATTCAAACCGCCCATAGGAAAGCATTACTC